CTCCTCTCTCTCTCTCTCTCTCTCTCTCTCTCTCTCTCTCTCTCTCTCTCTCTCTCTCTCTCTCTCTCTCTCTCTCTCTCTCTCTCTCTTCATTGTCTTTGCAGGTGCGCAGTGTCTTCCTCCAGCGGCGCAGCTAGGGCAGACTCTCCTTCTTCAACAGCGCAGCTGCTGCTATGGCGCCCCACTGGCGCGCGCCTCCTCCTTGTTGGTAACGACGATAGCGCGTGGAACAGCGGGAACCTGCTCCGATACCAATGCAATCAGATTCGTTTTCTCACTTACGTAGCACGCATGCGAAGAGATGGCAATCCACACTGGCGCAAGGCGCCCACACAAAGCTCCGAGATGTTAAGGCTGAGAACACAGTTCAGATGCAAACTCGCTTCAACTTGGCTATGGCGCTTGTGCCCCTACACATCTCACTTCCGACACTGTATTCACAACAACTATTCGCAATCACATCACGCTGGATCTCCCTGGATGTTCCACGCACTCTCAACTCTATGTCACACGCACACACACACACACACACACACACACACACACACATGTACTACTAACTATCGCTAACTGGCAGCTATGGCCGCCGTCTACCAACTAGCTACAAGCAACAATGGCCGCTCTATCTTCCTCGCAGCCCACTTCGACTTCGGCCATCTGCAGACCACCTCGTACAAGATGCTCGGGCAGCGCTTCCGCATGGCTCATGCAAAATGAATGAATGGCTGGACGCTGCCCCTTGATTTATACTTTTGTTGGTCGCTGGTCTGCCCCTTTCCACCAGGCCCATGGTGCGCAGAGTCCCACATGGTACTTGCTGACTAGACAAAGTGCGACTGGGACTGGGTACCGCTGACTCGACAAAGTTGGACTGCCTACTTGCCCACTTGCCTTTGGCCTAACGTGTAAAACTCTCGAAAAGCCACTTCCGGACCTTCCGGAAGTCTGTGGACTTGGCCTTTCGGAACTTAAGCAGCTACGACCTTGATCTTTCAGACTTGTAGCAGCTACGACCTTGACCTTTTAGAATTGCAATAACTATGACCCCTACACAACGGCGACCCCTACTCAACAGACCTATGGATCGAAACCCGACAACTACTTAGACCTACGACAGACAGCAGTCAACTGCCAAGACATAGGTCGCGGGTTCAAACGCACAAAGTTGGACTGCCTACTTGCCCACTTGCCTCTGGCCTAACGTGTAAAACTCTCGAAAAGCCACTTCCGGACCCTCCGGAAGTCTGTGGACTTGGCCTTTCGGAACTTTAGCAGCTACGACCTTGACCTTTCAGACTTGTAGCAGCTACGACCTTGACCTTTCAGAATTGCAATAACTATGACCCCTACACAACTGCGACCCCTACTCAACAGACCTATGGATAGAAAGCCGACAACTACTTAGACCTACGACAGACAGCAGTCAACTGCCAAGACACAGGTCGCGGGTTCAAACGCACAGGGTCGACTTGCTACTGTACACGGGTGACGACAGGGTTAGGGATCGAGCCCTGGGATCTGCATCTGCTACTGCAAAGGTGGAAACCGTTTCACATCAAGTGGATCCGCATTAATATGCGGAAGAAGATTGGCCGTTTTGATAAATCCCATAGAGAGGCCGGCTGGAAGTCAGTTCGTCTCAAGAGCCGGATATCAGTAACATACTTCCAGCTTGACAACACCTTCTTTTTTTGTGTCCGATCATATGCTTCGGCAGAGGAAGGGGATTCCTATGGGTGGTCGTGCGAGCCCACCCCTCACCTGCATTATGTGCATGTTTTCCGAATTCCAGTTGTTAAGGTCACTTGGGGCCAATGCAAAGTGGGTGACTGAGAAAAGGTACATCGACGATTTGTGCATCGTCTCGTTTTTCAGAGATCAGACCCGGACAGAAAAACAAAAGTTGAGGAAAGGCTCGATCAGGTGACAAGTTATGCAGTACTTGAGCGAACTGACCCAGGTAATGTTCTTCTCGATTTCCTGGAAACTAGTATGGTCGTGTGTGGTTCCACCATCTTTACGTCACACAAGTTTAAAACCGCGGGCTCAATTTGGGGTCACTGGGCCCTTTTCTTTCGAACCTTCAAGGACTTTGCAATGAACCCAGATCGTGAAGACAGTTGTCAACAATGCAAAGTCCAGATGAGTGTCAACCAACTGATGATTATCAATAATCGTGTTCGTGTCCAGATACCCAAGAGAAGAGAAGACATACACAGGCGAGGTAGATGAGAGGGAGGAAAGACTTAGAGTGGGGAAGATAGAAACAATGCCCACTGCTTCTTTGGGCTCCCTCCGCAATCGCCACCTCAATAATCAATAATCTGAACGAATATATGAAATAACCTCAATGTACCACGTGGCACGTCTAATCAGTCCCTCATCAATGTTGGAGCAATGTTGACATGAAGACCACCAGGTAAGTATCCACGATCTCTCCACAGTCTTGATCTCCTCCTGAATGACGATAATCAGAACAACAACATAAGTCACATAGCTTCGCCTCGTCAACATAGTAGTACACGTGGCAGCAGCCACGTCATCGACAGCGCATGGCAGCTGCCACGTCAGCATGCCAAGAAGACAGGTGCAAGCCAGCCACCATGCCGGACCAGCAGCATGTCGCCGTAGACACAATGCCAGCACAAAGCCAGTGCTCAACCAGCTTAGCAGCGTCGAGCCAAAGTCGTTGTCAACACGTGAAGTCAGCATCAACGTAAAACAGAATGAATGTCAAAGCCAGGAAAGTCAGCGCTTATGTAGCGTTGACTCGGGGTCTGGGCCCCGGATGCTACCACCCTCAACCGTCCAGATCTCGATGCAAACTAAGGCCCACATTGGTCTGAAACTGAATTCCCTCCGGCCTGGATGCTTGTCTGGGTACCTGCACACAACAAGTGAGTGTATCCAACCAAGGGCCTGGGTGCAGTACCTTTGACTCTACAGTTGACTTTGACCCTTGAATTTCTTGTGTGTAGCGTTAGGTCACACAGCCAAACGTGACAGACTCAGGCCTGGGCGTGTCTTGGTCACACAGCCCAGCGCAGACCAATTCAGGTCTGCGTTGCCTGGGGCTGAGTTCTGGGCCCGAGGCTACTTTTCAACAGGGTTGTTGCATTCCTCCCGGCCCATTTTCGAGTTTCACCGCCGAAATATTTAAGACTTTAACCCTCGTTCATAAGCAACGATAATATCAAGAGAAGTTTCAAGTAGTTCTCGTTTACTAAACCATCTGTCCTCAGATGGTGCCCAGACTTAAAACGAACCTTGAACTGCTTCTGAGGTCGTCCACGTCCTCCCGTAGAGATGACCTGCTGTATGATTTTGTCTACCTCATATCTGCCTTCCATAGATGGCGGAATCATAGAGGGTCTGTTTGGAAATTCATTCCCTTCTACATAGGGCATCGGTTTGGACGCGTGAAAGACAGGATATGTTTTGAGATGAGGGGGATTATCAATGCGATAAGACGGTCCCTCTGCATCTCCAATTACTTTGAGAACTTCCCAGGGTCCAAAATGGACAGGAAGCAATTTCTAGGACACATCTTCCTCTAATGAAAACTCTTTAGATTTTACCCAAACCAGATCACCCTCTTTGAATGTAGCTTAATTCTCCAAGTAACGTTTGAAGTCGTTGTTCCTTAGTTTTAACCAATAATCTACTCTTCAAAGGCAAATATGACACTCCTAAATGTGCAATAGTGTATATGACTGGAGTCACCTCTTTTAGATAATTACGGAATTCCTGTAGTTTAGCTTTCCTCTTCTGGGGATCTCTGTATTCCGGACTTTCTCTAAATTTCTGTAAATCCTTGTAAAGTAGGGCCCGTTCTTCTCATGAAGTACCACATTGGATAGAA